TACAGTTGATACCTTTGTTAGCATGCTGCTCTCACGTTGGAGGAGGACACTCAGTGTTCCCCAGCAGTGTGTATAGACCTGTATGGCAACCATGTATGTCTGATCTCAGGACAAGGACTTTGGGAAGCAGACGCTCCACAAAGGTCACGCTAACCCCCTAGCAGAGGTCACGACCTCTCTGAAGACCTACCAGCACTTCACTCTGGAGAAGGCCTACCTGGGGGAGGACTTCTTCTGGGCCTTCACCCCCGTCTCAGGGGACTTCATCCGGATACGCTTCTTCACGCCCGTCCGCATCGAGAGGTGGGGATACATAGATATCATAAATAACATCAATAACAACAACAATCACATAAATAACATTTGAGATATTTAAGAACTAGTTTTACACTAGCTTTAATTATTCTATAAAGTAGAGATTTGATATATATTTGTAAACGTCTGTCCGTGTTCCCGTCAGGTTCTTCTTCCGCAGCGGGCACATGGAGCACCCTGGAGACAAACTGTTCAACACGTCTGTGGAGGTGCTGCCGTTCGACGTGAGTTTAACATCATTCCAATAGAGACGGAGAGTTTCTCTTGTTACTGAGAGCAGACTAAAGCCATGCATCACCAATACATGTTCTCTTCCATAAACAAAGCAATTCGTTCACACAATGAGGTGAAACAATCCTAAGATCAGATAAGAAGTACTTTATGGATCCCAATTTGGGAAATGTTTGTGTTTTGCTCAGGTATTCAGCCTTCAGCACGGTTCATCGTTTTCTCCTCTCACCGTCTCCTTTCCCACGGCATCGCTCTACGGCCTGAGTTCTGCTGCTGTCTGTCTTGAGGAGGAGCCAACAAAGCTCCAGCTCTCCTCGTGTCTCTCTGAGTCCTGACTCCATCAGAGCTCCAGCTCTCCTCGTGTCTCTCTGAGTCCTGACTCCATCAGAGCTCCAGCTCTCCTCGTGTCTCTCTGAGTCCTGACTCCATCAAAGCTCCAGCTCTCCTCATGTCTCTCTGAGTCCTGACTCCATCAAAGCTCCAGCTCTCCTCGTGTCTCTCTGAGTCCTGACTCCATCAGAGCTCCAGCTCTCCTCGTGTCTCTCTGAGTCCTGACTCCATCAGAGCTCCAGCTCTCCTCGTGTCTCTTTGAGTCCTGACTCCATCAGAGCTCCAGCTCTCCTAGTGTGTCTCTGAGTCCTGACTCCATCAAAGCTCCAGCTCTCCTCGTGTCTCTCTGAGTCCTGACTCCATCAGAGCTCCAGCTCTCCTCGTGTCTCTCTGAGTCCTGACTCCATCAGAGCTCCAGCTCTCCTCGTGTCTCTGAGTCCTGACTCCATCAGAGCTCCAGCTCTCCTCGTGTCTCTCTGAGTCCTGACTCCATCAGAGCTCCAGCTCTCCTCATGTCTCTCTGAGTCCTGACTCCATCAGAGCTCCAGCTCTCCTCGTGTCTCTCTGAGTCCTGACTCCATCAGAGCTCCAGCTCTCCTCGTGTCTCTGAGTCCTGACTCCATCAAAGCTCCAGCTCTCCTCGTGTCTCTTTGAGTCCTGACTCCATCAGAGCTCCAGCTCTCCTCGTGTCTCTCTGAGTCCTGACTCCATCAGAGCTCCAGCTCTCCTCGTGTCTCTCTGAGTCCTGACTCCATCAAAGCTCCAGCTCTCCTCATGTCTCTCTGAGTCCTGACTCCATCAAAGCTCCAGCTCTCCTCGTGTCTCTCTGAGTCCTGACTCCATCAAAGCTCCATCTCTCCTCGTGTCTCTCTGAGTCCTGACTCCATCAAAGCTCCATCTCTCCTCGTGTCTCTCTGAGTCCTGACTCCATCAGAGCTCCAGCTCTCCTCATGTCTCTCTGAGTCCTGACTCCATCAGAGCTTCAGCTCTCCTCGTGTCTCTGAGTCCTGACTCCATCAAAGCTCCAGCTCTCCTCGTGTCTCTCTGAGTCCTGACTCCATCAGAGCTTCAGCTCTCCTCGTGTCTCGGAGTCCTGACTCCATCAAAGCTCCAGCTCTCCTCGTGTGTCTCTGAATCCTGACTACATCAGAGCTCCAGCTCTCCTCGTGTCTCTCTGAGTCCTGACTCCATCAGAGCTCCAGCTCTCCTCGTGTCTCTTTGAGTCCTGACTCCATCAGAGCTCCAGCTCTCCTCGTGTCTCTCTGAGTCCTGACTCCATCAAAGCTCCAGCTCTCCTCGTCTCTCTGAGTCCTGACTCCATCAAAGCTCCAGCTCTCCTCGTGTCTCTCTGAGTCCTGACTCCATCAAAGCTCCAGCTCTCCTCGTGTCTCTCTGAGTCCTGACTCCATCAAAGCTCCAGCTCTCCTCATGTCTCTGAGTCCTGACTCCATCAGAGCTCCAGCTCTCCTCGTGTCTCTCTGAGTCCTGACTCCATCAAAGCTCCAGCTCTCCTCGTGTCTCTCTGAGTCCTGACTCCATCAGAGCTCCAGCTCTCCTCGTGTCTCTCTGAGTCCTGACTCCTTCAGAGCTCCAGCTCTCCTCGTGTCTCTGAGTCCTGACTCCATCAGAGCTCCAGCTCTCCTCGTGTCTCTCTGAGTCCTGACTCCATCAAAGCTCCAGCTCTCCTCGTGTCTCTCTGAGTCCTGACTCCATCAAAGCTCCAGCTCTCCTCGTGTCTCTCTGAGTCCTGACTCCATCAAAGCTCCAGCTCTCCTCGTGTCTCTCTGAGTCCTGACTCCATCAAAGCTCCAGCTCTCCTCGTGTCTCTCTGAGTCCTGACTCCATCAAAGCTCCATCTCTCCTCGTGTCTCTGAGTCCTGACTCCATCAGAGCTCCAGCTCTCCTCGTGTCTCTCTGAGTCCTGACTCCATCAGAGCTCCAGCTCTCCTCGTGTCTCTTTGAGTCCTGACTCGATCAGAGCTCCAGCTCTCCTCGTGTCTCTCTGAGTCCTGACTCCATCAAAGCTTCAGCTCTCCTCGTGTCTCTCTGAGTCCTGACTCCATCAGAGCTCCAGCTCTCCTCGTGTCTCTGAGTCCTGACTCCATCAAAGCTCCAGCTCTCCTCGTGTGTCTCTGAGTCCTGACTCCATCAGAGCTCCAGCTCTCCTCGTGTCTCTCTGAGTCCTGACTCCATCAGAGCTCCAGCTCTCCTCGTGTCTCTCTGAGTCCTGACTCCATCAGAGCTCCAGCTCTCCTCGTGTCTCTTTGAGTCCTGACTCCATCAGAGCTCCAGCTCTCCTCGTGTCTCTCTGAGTCCTGACTCCATCAGAGCTCCAGCTCTCCTCGTCTCTCTGAGTCCTGACTCCATCAGAGCTCCAGCTCTCCTCGTCTCTCTGAGTCCTGACTCCATCAAAGCTCCAGCTCTCCTCGTGTCTCTCTGAGTCCTGACTCCATCAGAGCTCCAGCTCTCCTCGTCTCTCTGAGTCCTGACTCCATCAGAGCTCCAGCTCTCCTCGTCTCTCTCTGAGTCCTGACTCAATCAGAGCTCCAGCTCTCCTCGTGTCTCTGAGTCCTGACTCAATCAGAGCTCCAGCTCTCCTCGTGTCTCTCTGAGTCCTGACTCCATCAAAGCTCCAGCTCTCCTCGTGTCTCTCTGAGTCCTGACTCCATCAAAGCTCCAGCTCTCCTCGTGTCTCTCTGAGTCCTGACTCCATCAGAGCTCCAGCTCTCCTCGTGTCTCTCAGTCCTGACTCCATCAGAGCTCCAGCTCTCCTCGTGTCTCTCTGAGTCCTGACTCCATCACAGCTCCAGCTCTCCTCGTGTCACTGAGTCCTGACTCCATCAGAGCTCCAGCTCTCCTCGTGTCTCTCTGAGTCCTGACTCCATCAGAGCTCCAGCTCTCCTCGTGTCTCTCTGAGTCCTGACTCCATCAGAGCTCCAGCTCTCCTCGTGTCTCTCTGAGTCCTGACTCCATCAGAGCTCCAGCTCTCCTCGTGTCTCTCTGAGTCCTGACTCCATCAGAGCTCCAGCTCTCCTCGTGTCTCTCTGAGTCCTGACTCCATCAAAGCTCCAGCTCTCCTCGTGTCACTGAGTCCTGACTCCATCAAAGCTCCAGCTCTCCTTGTGTCTCTCTGAGTCCTGACTCCATCAGAGCTCCAGCTCTCCTCGTGTCTCTTTGAGTCCTGACTCCATCAAAGCTCCAGCTCTCCTCGTGTCTCTCTGAGTCCTGACTCCATCAGAGCTCCAGCTCTCCTCGTGTCTCTGAGTCCTGACTCCATCAGAGCTCCAGCTCTCCTCGTGTCTCTGAGTCCTGACTCCATCAGAGCTCCAGCTCTCCTCGTGTCTCTGAGTCCTGACTCCATCAGAGCTCCAGCTCTCCTCGTGTCTCTTTGAGTCCTGACTCCATCAAAGCTCCATCTCTCCTCGTGTCTCTTTGAGTCCTGACTCCATCAGAGCTCCAGCTCTCCTCGTGTCTCTCTGAGTCCTGACTCCATCAAAGCTCCAGCTCTCCTCGTGTCTCTCTGAGTCCTGACTCCATCAAAGCTCCATCTCTCCTCGTGTCTCTCTGAGTCCTGACTCCATCAGAGCTCCAGCTCTCCTCGTGTCTCTCTGAGTCCTGACTCCATCAGAGCTCCAGCTCTCCTCGTCTCTCTCTGAGTCCTGACTCCATCAGAGCTCCAGCTCTCCTCGTGTCTCTGAGTCCTGACTCCATCAAAGCTCCAGCTCTCCTCGTGTCTCTCTGAGTCCTGACTCCATCAAAGCTCCAGCTCTCCTCGTGTCTCTCTGAGTCCTGACTCCATCAAAGCTCCAGCTCTCCTCGTGTCTCTGAGTCCTGACTCCATCAGAGCTCCAACTCTCCTCGTGTCTCTCTGAGTCCTGACTCCATCAGAGCTCCAGCTCTCCTCGTGTCTCTCAGTCCTGACTCCATCAGAGCTCCAGCTCTCCTCGTGTCTCTCTGAGTCCTGACTCCATCACAGCTCCAGCTCTCCTCGTGTCACTGAGTCCTGACTCCATCAGAGCTCCAGCTCTCCTCGTGTCTCTCTGAGTCCTGACTCCATCAGAGCTCCAGCTCTCCTCGTGTCTCTTTGAGTCCTGACTCCATCAGAGCTCCAGCTCTCCTTGTGTCTCTCTGAGTCCTGACTCCATCAGAGCTCCAGCTCTCCTCGTGTCTCTTTGAGTCCTGACTCCATCAAAGCTCCAGCTCTCCTCGTGTCTCTTTGAGTCCTGACTCCATCAGAGCTCCAGCTCTCCTCGTGCCTCTCTGAGTCCTGACTCCATCAGAGCTCCAGCTCTCCTCGTGTCTCTCTGAGTCCTGACTCCATCAGAGCTCCAGCTCTCCTCGTGTCTCTGAGTCCTGACTCCATCAGAGCTCCAGCTCTCCTCGTGTCTCTGAGTCCTGACTCCATCAGAGCTCCAGCTCTCCTCGTGTCTCTGAGTCCTGACTCCATCAAAGCTCCATCTCTCCTCGTGTCTCTTTGAGTCCTGACTCCATCAAAGCTCCATCTCTCCTCGTGTCTCTTTGAGTCCTGACTCCATCAGAGCTCCAGCTCTCCTCGTGTCTCTCTGAGTCCTGACTCCATCAAAGCTCCAGCTCTCCTCGTGTCTCTTTGAGTCCTGACTCCATCAGAGCTCCATCTCTCCTCGTGTCTCTTTGAGTCCTGACTCCATCAGAGCTCCAGCTCTCCTCGTGTCTCTCTGAGTCCTGACTCCATCAGAGCTCCAGCTCTCCTCGTGTGTCTCTGAGTCCTGACTCCATCAAAGCTCCATCTCTCCTCGTGTCTCTTTGAGTCCTGACTCCATCAAAGCTCCATCTCTCCTCGTGTCTCTCTGAGTCCTGACTCCATCAGAGCTCCATCTCTCCTCGTGTCTCTTTGAGTCCTGACTCCATCAAAGCTCCATCTCTCCTCGTGTCTCTCTGAGTCCTGACTCGATCAGAGCTCCAGTTCTCCTCGTGTCTCTCTGAGTCCTGACTCCATCAAAGCTCCAGCTCTCCTCGTGTCTCTCTGAGTCCTGACTCCATCAAAGCTCCAGCTCTCCTTGTGTCTCTCTGAGTCCTGACTCCATCAGAGCTCCAGCTCTCCTCGTGTCTCTCTGAGTCCTGACTCCATCAGAGCTCCAGCTCTCCTCGTGTCTCTGAGTCCTGACTCCATCAGAGCTCCAGCTCTCCTCGTGTCTCTGAGTCCTGACTCCATCAGAGCTCCAGCTCTCCTCGTGTCTCTGAGTCCTGACTCCATCAGAGCTCCAGCTCTCCTCGTGTCTCTGAGTCCTGACTCCATCAGAGCTCCAGCTCTCCTCGTGTCTCTCTGAGTCCTGACTCCATCAGAGCTCCAGCTCTCCTCTTGTCTCTGAGTCCTGACTCCATCAGAGCTCCAGCTCTCCTCGTGTCTCTGAGTCCTGACTCCATCAGAGCTCCAGCTCTCCTCTTGTCTCTGAGTCCTGACTCCATCAGAGCTCCAGCTCTCCTTGTGTCTCTCTGAGTCCTGACTCCATCAGAGCTCCAGCTCTCCTCGTGTCTCTCTGAGTCCTGACTCCATCAGAGCTCCAGCTCTCCTCGTGTCTCTGAGTCCTGACTCCATCAGAGCTCCAGCTCTCCTCGTGTCTCTGAGTCCTGACTCCATCAGAGCTCCAGCTCTCCTCGTGTCTCTGAGTCCTGACTCCATCAGAGCTCCAGCTCTCCTCGTGTCTCTGAGTCCTGACTCCATCAGAGCTCCAGCTCTCCTCTTGTCTCTGAGTCCTGACTCCATCAGAGCTCCAGCTCTCCTCGTGTCTCTGAGTCCTGACTCTCCATTGCTTCAGAAGTTTCCCCCACAGTTTGTGTTGCAGCATAAAACACATGACATTACAAATTAAAGACTAGAAAGTAGAAAATATATATGTTGAATTTACAAATGTGTGTGTGTGTGTGTGTGTGTGTGTGTGTGTGTGTGTGTGTGTGTGTGTGTGTGTGTGTGTGTGTGTGTGTGTGTGTGTGTGTGTGTGTGTGTGTGTGTGTGTGTGTGTGTGTGTGTGTGTGTGTGTGTGTGTGTGTGTGTGTGTGTGTGTGTGTGTGTGTGTGTGTGTGTGTGTTGTGCAGAACATCCAGGCGGAGAAGGAGGCTCTGACGGAGGGCAGAGAGAGAACACCAAAGTATCATCGGACCGAGGACGGTTTCATCCGGATAGGTGAGACACCGGGGGTCAGATCAGGGGTCAGATCAGGGGTCAGATCAGGGGTCAGATCAGGGGTCAGATCGGGGGTCAGATCGGGGTCAGATCGGGGGTCAGATCAGGGGTCAGATCGGGGGTCAGATCGGGGGTCAGATCGGGGGTCAGATCAGGGGTCAGATTAGGGGTCAGATCGGGGTCAGATCGGGGGTCAGATCGGGGGTCAGATCGGGGGTCAGATCAGGGGTCAGATTAGGGGTCAGATCGGGGGTCAGATCGGGGGTCAGATCGGGGGTCAGATCGGGGGTCAGATCAGGGGTCAGATCGGGGGTCAGATCAGGGGTCAGATCAGGGGTCAGATCAGGGGTCAGATCGGGGTCAGATCGGGGGTCAGATCGGGGTCAGATCGGGGGTCAGATCGGGGGTCAGATCGGGGTCAGATCGGGGGTCAGATCGGGGGTCAGATCGGGGGTCAGATCAGGGGTCAGATCAGGGGTCAGATCGGGGTCAGATCGGGGGGTCAGATCGGGGGTCAGATCGGGGGTCAGATCAGGGGTCAGATCAGGGGTCAGATCGGGGGTCAGATCAGGGGTCAGATCAGGGGTCAGATCAGGGGTCAGATCGGGGTCAGATCGGGGGTCAGATCAGGGGTCAGATCAGGGGTCAGATCGGGGTCAGATCGGGGGTCAGATCGGGGGTCAGATCGGGGGTCAGATCAGGGGTCAGATCAGGGGTCAGATCAGGGGTCAACGTTAGGATAAAGTCAAGTTAGACCAATGAACAAAAATAAAAACAGAAGCACTGGATGAGGAGGTCAAATAAAGGCAGAAACACTCATTTGGATTGTTGCCGTTATTATTATTTCACCTTTTGTTATTTTTCTAAGTGACAAGAATACATTTATTAGAATGTTTTTGTAGTTTTGACTTTTTATAAATATTTCATATTAAATAATAAAAAGACACTCGAGAAAATAACACATTTTTGAAATAAGTTTTTTAGAACGATACCTTTTATTATAGTTTAAACTTAGTTAATTTGAATGTATCTACATCGTGTGTTTAAATGAAGTTCATGTTGAGTAAATTTACACATTACATTAGCTTACATTACTATCGTTAAGTTTAAGTAACGTTTTTAAAAATAAACTTTACGTCTCACAGAAACAGGAGGTGTCAGGCAGCCCTCACACACACACACACACACACACACACACACACACACACACACACACACACACACACACACACACACACACACACACACACACACACAGGCAGAGACACAGACACACACACACACACACCCTTAGAGTAAACCCTCTCAGGGATCATCACACTGAAATCACGGGATTTAATATAAAAAGAAAACTTCACACATGTTTTTTAAAATATGTTGCAGTGCATTGTGGGAAACGTAGTTGCTCTCTTGTCCTTCAGGAGCGTTCGGCGGGGGGGTGGCGGAGGGGGAGGTGGACGCCTCCTTCGGCCCGCTGGAGGCGATGAGACTCTCCGTTCTGACAGACTCTCCAGTGTGGGTCATCCTCAGCGAGGTGAGAGCCTCGGGACTCAACCCGTTCTCATTAAGGAACCGCGTCTGAGGAACAGATCTGACGTTCCTTAATGTTCTCTAAAGAAGGGGGTTCCTCAGGGGACTGATGCAGACTAGCTTCCTTGTTGGTATATATGATGTGTACTTTTACGTTTAGTTTTGTTAAGTTAGGCTTGCTTTCAATTAGGGCTGCACGATTTTGGGAAAAAGTCTAATTGGGATTTTCCTGACAGATATTGCGATTCGATTTGCGATATTTGTTCTTAAGCGACCCAACGGAAGTTTATTGTAAAATGCGGCCATATCTCCGGCTAGGAAGGTCGCATCAACGTGCTCCCGTCTCTAGCGCCCCGCAGCCCGAGCTACGAGCGAAATAACTAAAGTTACATGAAACTTCCGTTGCTTTAAAGTCGAGCTTCAGTTTCAGATTCTCCCTGTGATAGAAACACGTGATGGAGCGTTACTAACCTGACGGTTCATCAAAGCATCTGAAGCTCCATTGGAAGCCATCTGGAAAGGGCAGGCACTTTCAAAGATACTTGGCAGGTGATTGGATCAATCTGTCTGTCCCCTTCTATCATGGGCCTCTTCTGATTGGTTAACAATGGCTGGTACATGTGGAGCACAGCGCTTCTGATTGGTGTGGATGACTGACACACAACAACAACAACAACAACAACAACAAAATAATTTAAATTATTATTATTATTTTTTTTTATTTGATAATCGCATCATTTCAAATCACGATTTAAAATCGATTAATCGTTCAGCCCTACTTTCAATCACGTTTAGTGTATCTTTAGTTTAGCTTCACGTTTAATTTAGTTGACATTAAGATAAGGTGTAAGATGCAGACAGATGAATGCTTCAGGTTTATGGAGCACTTAACACTTTAAAGTATTTCTGGTGTTTAAGGGTTAATGCACCAAAGAGCAGTGAAGCCTCAGATTGACCTCTGACCTCTGTTTGAGGGGTTAACCCGTTCTTTGATCATTCACAGGAAGTCTGAATATTGAAAGTACTTAAAACATTAACCCTTTCTAACGGACCGTCCACACAGCAGCGTGCGTTGACGCTTGGAGGTGGGCGTATCTTTTTTTTCAACCAATCACATGAGTCTCCCGCCCCCGACATACAAAGCAATAGCAATGTTAAAACGAAGTAAACTGGATATAAAATCCCCAAACAGGCGAAAACCTACCAGTTTCACCCACTGTCTCTGCCACCTCCCTCCATGCCTCGCTCCTCTAGTTTGTATCCCGGTAGATGAACAGAGACTGATCATACAGCACCGGGTGATTCACTACCGCTATAATGAATTTTCCCTCCATTTTTTGGAATATGAGGAAATGACCTGCGTCGTCTCTCCAGCATACACGCGGTTTGATTGGCTAGTGCTTGTACTGGCAGATTTGCATAAACGGGATTTCATTGGCTGACGCCTCCGTCGAGGCGTCAAAAGTTGAACATTGCTTAACTTTTGACGCCAGCTACGCCAGCAACGCTCCACGTCGCTTCCCAAAATGCAGTTCGGCTAAAAGTGACGTCACCCCATTCAAAGTGAATGGGCAGCAGCGTTGAAAGCTTCAACGCACGCCGCTGTGTGGACGGGCCGTGAGAATAACATATACTTTAATGTTGTCTCTTTGATCCGTTGCTTCCTCCTCTCTCCTGTCCTATGGATTAAGGATTAAAGGATTCTATTTGTATTCCTTTTGGGGTTTTAGGGAGGCCCGTTGTATAATCTAGTGGCGTCTTTCTCTCTCTGTCATCTTTGTGTTTTTGAATGTATTTTTATAATGGATTGTATTCAGTCTTGTGCGTTTACAATAACATATACAACTGTGTTCTCTGCTTTTTCTCCCAGATCTTCATAAAGAAAGCAGAGTGAAGCCCCCCCCCTCTCTTGGGCACAGCACCCCCCTTCAGAGACCCCCCCCTCTCTCTCTTTGGGCACAGCGCCCCCCTGTGGCTGCAGAGAGAAACTGCAGAGAGACTCTCAGATTAACTGGAGACTGTATCAAAGTGTATTTAATGTACATAAAGGTAAACACTGAAACTGGAAACTGCTGCTACCCCCCCCCCCCCACAGTACTCTGTATACAAGTACACACTACCATAGGAATGCCCTCTGTGTGTGTGTGTGTGTGTGTGTGTGTGTGTGTGTGTGTGTGTGTGTGTGTGTGTGTGTGTGTGTGTGTGTGTGTGTGTGTGTGTGTGTGTGTGTGTGTGTGTGTGTGTGTGTGTGTGTGTGTGTGTTCAGACCTTCGCCTTAACGGAGAGACACGAGCAGTTCCCAGAATGCTTTGCTGCCTCGGACCTGAAACTGACGACGGCTGTTTTTTTAACGAATCTTGAAGTGTATTTTATTTACTGCGGCCTTCACGACTCTCTCTCTGGTTTCATCTGTACTGCAGTACTGAGAGGTACTTTAAATACTGAGAGGTACTTTAAATACTTTAATATACTGGGAGGTACTTTAAAATACTGAGAGGTAGGCTACAATATTTCAAAAATACTTTAATGTACTTTAAGTTATTTTTATATTGTGCAGTACCTTAATGTTGAAATTACTTTAATTTACTTTAAAGCACTTTGATATAATTAAATGTACTTTACTGTATTTTCATTTATTTTACAGTACCTCATTGAAGTACATTGATGTACTTTACACTACTTTGATGTACTTTGATGTAGTTTACAGTACTTTAAAGTACTCTGCTGTACTGCAGTATATCACACACGTCAACTCGTCTCATCTTCAGTCTCTCTTTCAGACTTTTGGTAAAAAAATAGTAGAAAATGATATAAAAAGATAAAGAATCTCCCCACATGTGAATGAGCCCTCCTCTTCATCTTCTGGTATCATTCAGCCCTCCTCTTCATCTTCTGGTATCATTCGTGTTTCCTCAGATTATTACGTTTGGCTCTTAAAGGTGGGGTAGGTAAGTTTGAGAAACCGGCTCGAGACACTTGTTGTTATATTCCATGGAATGCTCTGAACATCCCGATAGCAATGAATATCTGAAGTGCTTTGAAGCCGTAGCACTGTGAAAAGCACGACCAATCATCTGAGCCGGCTAAAGTAACTGGATGTCCTACCTGCCTGTCAGCCTTCCATCTGTGCACAAACTCATCTCGTGCCCTCATTGGTCATGTGCGCGTTCGTGTGTGTTGGAGGAGGGGCTCTGTAAGGAAGTGGCAGATTTGTTCCGGCTGTGTATTTTCAAATTCTAGCGCACTCGAGCTGGTTTCTCCAAATGTACCTACCCCACCTTTAACACTTTGTTTGTTCTCAATGATCGACAACCTTTAGTTATGTTAGTTAGGAGTATAATAGTGACGTGACGTTCGCGAACGAACCGAGTCGTACCAAAGAGCCGTTCTTCTTATCGTTGGTTCTCTGCCGGCCATAAATCCACTCGCCTTTACGGCAACCTGCTTTCCTGAATGTTCCGTAGATGACGGCGTAACGCGTGCTGCTTGAGCAGGAGTTCGGCTGCCTGAGAGATGTAGCAAGTTATACATTTTTCTGTGAGTAAAAGTAGATTCCTGGCAATACAGTCACTCATTATCCTGGTGATTATTTCACAGATAAACCTATTAACCCCGCCCCCTATTGCCCCCGCCCCTATCAACCCCACGGCTCTTTTGAACGGCTCTCTAGTTTTACGACCTTTAGTTGACCTCCTGTTGTTTTTATTTTTGTTTATTGTTCCAACTTGACTTCTTAGGCTCAGGCCACACGAGGACGAAAACGGCTAAACGCATAGGATTAACGCAATCGCAAAAAAGCTTCCGTCCACACGCAATATTCACCGGATAGTGTCTGTCCACACGAGACAGCTCCGTTTAGCTCCAACCGCTGGAGAAGCTGCAGTACATATGCCGAGCCTGTACGTGGCGCTGTAACTTCCTCCACAGAAGCAGCGAAGAAGCATGGTTGTCATGGTTGCCCTTCTGTTTATTCTCCGCGGTGGGGGCCGAGGGAACCGGGCAGAGTTTTTCGCCAGTCAACGTGAATTAAAGTTGAAATCTTCCGAAAAAATTATAAAAGTGCCGGTCAAAGGTCTTCTTTGTTATTTATTGAGCTTTAAAACAAATGAATAACGACTCTATATAATATAATAATAAAATACACGGAGCCTCTCGTTTTCCTCCCTCTCTTCGGACAGCGTCAGTGTCTGTTTCATGCAGCAGCTGATCCAGTAATGAATGACCCGGCCGACAGTAAAAATAAACACATGTATAACCAGTAGCGTGGCGTGGGGAAAAAATTAGGGGAAGCCAATAATACGTCCTTTCTTTTGGGTCGGGGGTGTGGTGGTCAATGTAATAACGTAACCAGATGAGTGATTACAGCACCCGGTATCATTTTACACACATTTGTATCAGATGCAGGACTTACACACGCCTGTTATCTAACCGACAGGTCCGCACGTACTCTCCAGCCCAAACTCTAATAAGCATTCATTCACAAACTAAATCAGGAGACCTTTAACGTTTTACGTCCGATTCGCTCCTTTGTTCCTCGCTGTACACAGCTCCAGTTTGGGCATCAGCCTGTCATCAGATTGTATTTGTTGTTGCTGCTGTAGCGGAAGTTTAGTACAATTACTTTTGATGAAATACTCCAAATCTCCACCCTCCATAATTGCACTTGCTTCAGTTGCTTGCTACTTTCTAACGGCGGTGAGAGTGGTGCAGCGACGCTATCTATCTTCTATCGATTAGATTTATGATTCGAAAATTCTAAAAGTAGGGTAGACATGTGGATATTATCCGACTGAACAAAACGTGCATTTATCTAACAGGTTCGTTTTCCACTGACCTTATTTCGAGCTATTTTCCTAAATCCTATGGAGAAATCCCATTGCTTTCTGTGGAGGGAAACCGAGCGCAGCTTACTTCCGGATTTTAGGATGCGTCACTGCAACACTAAGTTGATGCGATTTGATTGGATTGTGAGGCAAGGGAAGCCAGCCGCCTCTGGCTTCCCTTGGCATGGCCCTGACCAATCACAGGTTGGCAGGGGCATCACGTGAGCCTCATCTGATTGGTCAATCCCTCCATTTTTTTTCACCAAGGGAAGACAGATTCGGCTGGCCTCCTCTCGCAACAGAGAGTGCAATCTACTGTTTCGCCATAACATGTAGAGGGGCGCTGTTTCACTCTTTGTAAAATACTCAATGAGAATGGGGGAGCGACGGGCCGGCAACAACACACAGCAAAGGAGAATTATCGAAACAAAACAAAGTGTTTTTATTTATTTATTTAAATTATAACTACAATCCGAAAAAACAGGGGAAGCCTGGCTTCCCTTGGCCTCCGGGAGAAAACGCCACTGTGTATAACTAGTTTAGGTAGTTTGAGAGGTGTCTCCGTCCTGTCAGATTAGACTTCACTCGCGTGTATGTCCATATCGAGAGAAGGATAAATAATCTGAATTCAGTGTGCAGTTTACTTTGACGCGGGGGTGAGCAGCAGAGGTGGGGAGAGGCGGGGCTATTGCCTCATCATTATCAGAAAATGATCGTATAGGGCGTACACACGGAGCCGTTTGACCCCCCAGAGCGTTGCGTATGCCGTTCTATCCACCTTGGGACCCGTTATCGTTTCCTCAGTCGTTTAGTGCCGTATTCGGTCGTCCTCGTGTGGCCGAACGGTCTATATGACACTAAACAGTAACGCAAACGACCGTTTTCGTCCTCGTGTGACCGGGGCCTTATCCTTATCCTAACCCCTGCTTGGATTTGACCCCTGATTTGACCCCTGATTTGACCCCGGTGTCTCACCTATCCGGATGAGAGACGTTCAAACTCCCATAGTGTATAATAAAATAAGGAAAACAACCTGCAGCTAGCGCCTGCTTCATATTGAAATTCTATCAATTCAAACAACATTTCATGCAATTTAAACGTCTTTTTCAACCGAATGTGACCCATCAATGCGATTCAAATAAACACCCTGGAGTTATTGAAGTGCACTAATGCATCTATGGGAACAAACAGAGTGATTTGAGGCAGAAATACATTTATTTCCATCAGTTTAGTTGCAGATATTTAGGAAACGTGGAGCCTCTGGAGCTCCTTCCTCTGTGGGATGCTCTGAATGCATTGCTATAATCTCCTGTGTCTTTTCTATCCTTTAGATATTTAAATGATCTCATGAATTTATCCGATCCGTGACTTGTAATAAAGACAGAAATTTAAAAATCAAACAAGTGTCCGCCTCACGTCTCTCGTTTCATCTCAGAGGAAAACCCAAAGTGTGTTTTACAGAAGACGGGAAATTAAAGTGTATTTCATTTGGTTTTTAAAGAAGTCATGTGACAGGGAGGTGGGACCCCGACATGTGACGGGAGGTGGGACCCCGACATGTGACGGGAGGTGTGACCCCGACATGTGACGGGAGGTGTGACCCCGACATGTGACGGGAGGTGGGACCCCGACATGTGACGGGAGGTGGGACCCCGACATGTGACGGGAGGTGGGACCCCGACATGTGACGGGAGGTGGGACCCCGACATGTGACGGGAGGTGGGAGCCCGACATGTGACGGGAGGTGGGACCCCGACATGTGACGGGAGGTGTGACCCCGACATGTGACGGGAGGTGGGACCCCGACATGTGACTGGAGGTGGGAGCCCGACATGTGACGGGAGGTGGACCCCGACATGTGACGGGAGGTGGGAGCCCGACATGTGACGGGAGGTGGGAGCCCCGACATGTGACGGGAGGTGTGACCCGACATGTGACGGGAGGTGGGACCCCGACATGTGACGGGAGGTGTGGACCCCGACATGTGACGGGAGGTGGGACCCCGACTGTGACGGGAGGTGGGACCCGACATGTGACGGGAGGTGGGAGCCCCGACATGTGACGGGAGGTGGGACCCGACATGTGACGGGAGGTGGGGCCCGACATGTTGACGGGAGGTGTGACCCCGACATGTGACGGGAAGGTGGGACCCCCCGACATGTGACGGGAGGTGGGAGCCCGACATGTGACGGGAGGTGGGGACCCCGACATGGACGGAGGAAGGTGGGAGCCCCGGACATGTGACGGGAGGTGGGAGCCCGACATGTGACGGGAGGTGTGACCCCGACATGTGACGGGAGGTGGGAGCCCGACATGTGACTGGAGGTGGGAGCCCGACATGTGACGGGAGGTGGGACCCCGACATGTGACGGGAGGTGTGGACCCCGACATGTGACGGGAGGTGTGACCCCGACATGTGACTGGCGGTGGGAGCCCGACATGTGACGGGAGGTGGGACCCCGACATGTGACGGGAGGTGGGAGCCCGACATGTGACTGGAGGTGGGAGCCCGACATGTGACGGGAGGTGGGACCCCGACATGTGACGGGAGGTGGGACCCCGACATGTGACGGGGGTGGACCCCGACATGTGACGGGAGGTGGGACCCCGACATGTGACGGGAGGTGTGACCCCGACATGTGACGGGAGGTGGGACCCCGACATGTGACGGGAAGTGGGACCCCGACATGTGACGGGAGGTGGGACCCCGACATGTGACAGGAGGTGTGACCCCGACATGTGACAGGAAGAAGACCCCCCAAACTCATTGTCAAAGGTCATTGTGCGTAGTTGTGTGTCTCTTAGTGGACATTTGAGGTTGTGTGCTTACATTTTTCGATGTTTTGTATTTTCAGCGGCTTTGTTTCTGTTCTTGTTTTACGTTTATTCTCATTTTGATCACTTGTGAGTTATTTTGCATCTATTTTAAGACATTATGCATCTTTGGAGAAGTTCTTATGCCACTTTCTGTCTATGTTCTGGTTGCTTTATGCCTCACATTGTGGTAATTTCACAACCACAGTGGTTTAGCGCCCCCTAGTGGTCCTTCTGCATCTCTTCAGTGTGTTTGCATCTAACTGGTTGTTTTGCGTGTAACATTTTGCATTTCTTACTAGTAACGTTGGTTCCCTTTGTTTTTGTGCAGGCCTATCGGTGTGTAAAGAGACTTTTCCACATCCTAAAAGCATGAATCACTATTCACACACACACACACACACACGCACGCACGCACACACACCGAGGATCCCTCCCACTCCCACATGGGTCTGCACTCTGCACACACTGGTGATCTGTGTGAAAACAAAGCTCAGTAACTAATGCAGTGTGTAAATCATCAGGGAGTAATGAGGGTCTCACGGTGCTCGCAGAGAATAGAGGAGTAAAAGCAGAGGAGGTCACATGGAGGGAGATCACATGACGCCATGCTGCAGAAACGGGGGGGGGTTTAGAGTCAGTAGCTGTTTTCTTAAAGATAGTAAAAACATTACAAAAAATTAAGAACTCAAATCCGCTTAAATACAATAAAAACACATTCAATAAAAAACGGAACAGGGTTAAGTAAAATGGATAGGGAAGCTTCTTTAAAAAATGAATATATTATATTTAACAGAAAATTCGATGATCAGTTAATCTTCTTTTTTTGTGTAATATTTCACGCAAAAAATGTACAGATTTATTTTCTCTGTTTGGATTTTTGTGTATATTTATTTAATTTATTTAAAGACATTTAAAGATATCACAATAGCTGCAAGTCGATAGACAGAATGGGTATTTATTCAATTTAAAATAAGGTGATTTAGTCCACACTCATCCAGACTATACATGGTTATTATTATTTTATATAAAATATTATTTTATAATTGTATTTTTTGAATTTGTGTATTTTTTTCTTTCTGTATTCTTTAGTATTTTTTTATATATTTATTTTTGAATATTTTATATATATATTTTTGATACTTTTTTTTGTATATATATTTTTAGCTAGATATATTTATTTTTTCATTTGTTGTATCTTTTCTCTTGTTCAATAAAACAAATATTAATATGATAAATGTACATTTTCTTTTCATTTTTTAATTACAGCAAAAGTTAGACAGAGAATATACAATTTTAAAAAACAATAGTAAAAATTCATAAATTATTTATTTTACTTTTGTCCATTTGTATGTATTCTTAATTGTTTCTGGTGGGTTACCTCGTGTTGTTTTAAGGGGTCCAGCCTTCAGACATCTCTAAGGTCTGCTTTAAACACCCTGAAAAGGTGCTAAATATAATGAGAGGAAGTGAATTCCGCAATAAAACGTCACTTTGCACACGATTTCAATACTATCATTTATGTAAATAACACATATGACGTCGTGAAAGCACATTCCTAAAATAGGAAATGTCTTAATTAATCTAATAATACTCATAAAGTGTAAAATACCTAATGATTATAGACTGTAATTTTAAACTAATGTAATATAATAAAATCAGTTAAAATCTCATCCATCAAGCCCCTCGTTCCAGCCAATCGGTGCGCCCTTACCCCTCTCAAGTCGACCAATCAGCGCTGTCCACGAGGTTCAGCTCCGGTAGAGGGCGGGCACCTTCTCGTCCGACTGAGATTCCCCGTCGACCAATCCGGTGTTGACAGTTGCCAGGAAACGTCAGATGTAGCCAATCAGCGACGGCAGGGGGGAGTTGAGTTGTGCCCTCCGATACCCCACGTGACGCTCCTCAGTAGTTCCCAGGCGGTCAAACATCCAACATACGAGGTGAGTAAAGAGACCGAAAAAATACTATCTTTACGGGTAAACACAGCGGGATAGCACCGCCTTACGACAAATGTGGTGTTGTTTAAACCGTCTGTGTTCTTATGTGTTGAAAAAGTCAGTGTTTTAGCCGTTAGAAATTAAGATGTTCCTTCCACAGCATGCTGTTAGCATAAGTGGCTAATTAACTACAGGTGAAATGAGCTAGCTCGTTAGCATGCTGCTTTAAACACTAAATATAACACATTAAACATCTAAAGGAGAGTGTTTCTTTACGTCCAGGGGAATAAAAGTGTACTTGTGTTTGTTTAAAGAAACCTGAAGTCTATGTGGCTTCTCCTTAGCAGCACCGAAGCTAATGCTAAGCTAACCTAATCTGACGTGTTCGTATTAAATGAGGGTGGAGATTTATTATCTGAAGTAACAAGCAAATGTGAGTTAAAATGTAAAATATCAAGCGATGCAAAACACGGGTTGATATCCACGAATGAATGAGTATGTCGGGAAGCATGTTAGCTTCTTATGTCTCGGCAAATGCACTTTAAAAAACGTAAAACACCTGATTTACAAATGGACTAAGAAGTGCTAAAATGGCTAAAGATGCCAAATATTAAAAGCTAGGTGTGTTGGAAACGAGCATAAAAAAGAACAAGGCTGCCAACTACTGATTATATGCCAACTGTCAATTACTTATCTCCCTGAATGGCAGTTAGCATGTCACATGACTCGAATAAAGGGGTTTATTCCCAGGTAACTTCAGTAAAATGATTCTAAAATAAATGAAGCTAGGTCTGTTGGAATAAATCATAAAAAGGTCCAAGGCTGCAAACCAATGATTATATGCAAGCTGTCAGTTAGCTATCTCCATTAATCATTCACTTTACACACAACCCTTAAATATGTTGCATTTAAAATGATAATAGCATGACTGAAGGAGCTGCAAAGTGAGAAACTGTTTCCTCTCTAAAAGACATGGCACATGTATGCATCCTTAAATCTCCCTTAAACAATCTTAACTTTCTAAAAAACCCTTAAACCTCCCTGAAACTGTCCTTGAATCTCCAATAAAGACCCTTAAAATACACTTAAGCATCCTTAAATCTCCCTTAAACAATCTTAACTTTCTCAAAACCCCTTAAACCTCCCTTAAACCACCAGGAAATGTCCTTGAATCTCCCTAAATACCCTTCATAAACACTAAAGCATCCTTAAATCTCCCTTAAACTATCTTAACTTTTTCAAAACCCCTTAAACCTCCCTGAAAATGTCCTTGAATCTCCCTAAATACCCTTAAAATAAACGTAACATCTTCTACACCCCCGATACCGGGGGGAAAAAACGCGTCATCAGCAGGAAACAGCGTCTGAGCGCTTCTTAATATTCAATAAACTATGAATGTTTTATGTAACGGGAAGAAACTCAGCTAACTGATCTTTTTTAATGAATTTTTTTTTAAAAGCCCACAAAGCTAGCGCTGAGCCTATGAATTAGCCACGAGCGAAAAAATGCTAATGCATTACTGCACAGAAACTCACTCATAACACGCTTATTGCTTATCGTAGCTGCACGTCCAACCCATCGATCTGATCGTGAGATGACACAGAATCGATCGGTGCATACATCATCACTCCATGATAAGAACTCGCAAAGCTATTAACGAGAACAGACATCAAAACATGTGGCGCTAGGTAGCTAAAACCGGCAACATGGCTCACCTGTGTGGTAATCTGGTCAAAAGTGGTCTTCAATGGCATTAAAACGATAGAAACGCTGCTGAAGTTAATCCATAGGTTAATCCAATGTGTCTGAGTCCCTTTGAATGATTTCTGATCATCCATAAGCAATAAACCTGCTTTTCCGTTTCCAGATGTCAGAGCTAGAGACAGCTTCACTCTGATGCAAACCTGCATGCGTAAAGCCCCCACCTTTTTTTTTTACCATGTGTGTGAGTGGGGAAATCCCCCTTCGATTCTATTGGCTCTAACGGTCAGAAAGATGTCAATCACCAAAATCGACCAATGGGTTCCAGAGAAACGGTAAAACCCCATTTCCAAATCACCTCAGAGGTGGAGTTTTTTGCAAAATCTGTCTAAAAAGGTCAAATATCACTTGTTTTGCATCAATCTTGATACAGGGTACTTATTATATGTTGTACTTTGGATTCCTAAAGCTTTTAGTCTACCTTACCATCATCCAAGGTTAGTTTTCACTATAAGTACAAAATAATTTTTGGACGGACACTATCATTTACAGTTTGTTCAATCTGAATTTTCTTTAAAATAAACATCTATATTGATTCTGACTTTTCTACATCCAACTCACAGGTTTATCATTACTTTGAGAACAAAGGTTATTAATTTAACCCTTTTTAGAAGATATGGTCATTTGTTCTGGGAATGTCATTTTGGAGCCTGAGACCTGGAAAACGGGCTCGGGGCTAAACTGGTTAAGCATCCTTTAATCTCCTGCAAACAATCTTAACTTTCTCAAAACCCCTTAAATCTCCCTTAAACCACCAGGAAATGTCCTTGAATCTCCCTAAATACCCTTCAAATACACTTAAGCATCCTTTAATCTCCTGCAAACAATTATAACTTTGGCATAATATATTTTGGACGCAAGATGCAAACTGTCAATATAAATAAATACAAATCAATAGTGTGAAATGGATTGAAGCTCTGTAGGTGATTACCTGCTTAGAAACACATCAACATGTCGAGGAGCACACGTAGTTAACTGTTGAATTTATTTGTACATTTAATAATAAAATGGCACAAAATGGCCGTCATACTTTTCTTAAAAAAGACAAAAAATTATCAGAAACATTTTTGTAAAAACCTTTTTTACAAACAGACATATTTTTCCTTCTCCATCTTTGTTTCCTTTCCTCACCTCCTCTCTTCTTTCCTTTCCTTCCCTCCCTTTGTTTCCTTTCCTCACCTCCTCCCCTCTTTCCTTTCCGTCCCCTACCTCCATTTGTTTCCTTTCCTCACCTCCTCCCCTCTTTCCTTTCCGTCCCCTACCTCCCTTTGTTTCCTTTCTCGTCTCTCTTCTTATTATGTAATAAATCACCGACTAGATTTTAGTGCACATAACCCCGAGTATTTCTCTCTCTCTTCCAAACTGTAATAACCCTGCAGTGAGGTACATTCCTTCCCTCGTGATGAATCCAGTCCGACCGGATCGACCTGCTGCTCCTCTTCAGGGCCACGTCTATTTCAGCCGGAGGAGCAGGAGACTTAGAAACACTGCACTTACTTTAAAGTTACCTTAAGGGGGACCTATCATGCAAAGTCCACTTCTTCACGTCTCTTCTACATCAACATGTGTCCCCTCTTCTTCATGTCTCTTCTACATCAACATGTGTCCCCTCTTCTTCATGTCTCTTCTACATCAACATGTGTCCCCTCTTCTTCATGTCTCTTCTACATCAACATGTGTCCCCTCTTCTTCATGTCTCCTCTACATCAACATGTGTCCCCTCTTCTTCATGTCTCTTCTACATCAACATGTGTCCCCTCTTCTTCATGTCTCTTCTACATCAACATGTGTCCCCTCTTCTTCGTGTCTCTTCTACATCAACATGTGTCCCCTCTTCTTCACGTCTCTTCTACATCAACATGTGTCCCCTCTTCTTCATGTCTCTTCTAAATCAACATGTGTCCCCTCTTCTTCGTGTCTCTTCTACATCAACATGTGTCCCCTCTTCTTCACGTCTCTTCTACATCAACATGTGTCCCCTCTTCTTCATGTCTCTTCTACATCAACATGTGTCCCCTCTTCTTCATGTCTCTTCTACATCAACATGTGTCCCCTCTTCTTCATGTCTCTTCTACATCAACATGGTCCCCTCTTCTAATGTCTCTTCTACATCAACATGTGTCCCCTCTTCTTCACGTCTCTTCTACATCAACATGTGTCCCCTCTTCTTCACGTCTCTTCTACATCAACATGTGTCCCTTCTTCTTCACGTCTCTTCTACATCAACATGTGTCCCCATCCCCTCTACATCAACATGTGTCCCCTCTTCTTCCACGTCTCTTCTACATCAACATGTGTCCTCTCTTCTTCACGTCTCTTCTACATCAACATGGTGTCCCTCTCGTCTTCACGTCTCTTCTACATCAAACATGTGTCCCACTCTTCTTCATGTCTCTTCTACATCACCATGTGTCCCACCTCTTCTTCATGTCTCTTCTACATCACCATGTGTCACCCTCTTCTTCATGTCTCTTCTACATCACCATGTGTCCCCTCTTCTTCATGTCTCTTCTACATCAACGTGTGTCCCCCTCTTCTTCATGTCTCTTCTACATCACATGTCTCTTCTACATCAACATGGTGTCCCCTCTCTTCATGTCTCTTCTACATCAACATGTGTCCCCTCTTCTTCATGTCTCTTCTACATCAACGTGTGTCCCCTCTTCTTCATGTCTCTTCTACATCACCATGTGTCCCCTCTTCTTCATGTCTCTTCTACATCACCATGTGTCCCCTCTTCTTCATGTCTCTTCTACATCACCATGTGTCCCCTCTTCTTCATGTCTCTTCTACATCAACGTGTGTCCCCTCTTCTTCATGTCTCTTCTACATCAACATGTGTCCCCTCTTCTTCATGTCTCTTCTACATCACCATGTGTCCCCTCTTCTTCATGTCTCTTCTACATCAACGTGTGTCCCCTCTTCTTCATGTCTCTTCTACATCACCATGTGTCCCCTCTTCTTCATGTCTCTTCTACATCAACATGTGTCCCCTCTTCTTCATGTCTCTTCTACATCAACATGTGTCCCCTCTTCTTCATGTCTCTTCTACATCAACGTGTGTCCCCTCTTCTTTCATGTCTCTTCTACATCAACATGTGTCCCCTCTTCTTCATGTCTCTTCTACATCACCATGTGTCCCCTCTTCTTCATGTCTCTTCTACATCAACATGTGTCCCCTCTTCTTCATGTCTCTTCTACATCACCATGTGTCCCCTCTTCTTCATGTCTCTTCTACATC